AAAATATTTTATTTTATCAAATACGTATTCAATGAAACCATACGAATAAAGAAAAAAGATCGAGAAGAGAGAAAAATTATACTCCGTAATTTATTTTAATAAGTGCACAATTCTTTTGACATTGAACATTCATATTGATGTAGTTGGATGTCAATAGATAAAATTAAAGAAATAGAGACTAAAATTAAGAGAATAACTAAAAGTAACCTTAGTTTGTATAGTACTCCGTAATTGTCTATGGTTAAAAAAAGAATTTCTTTTGCCGAATAGTTTAACTTTTCTTTATGAAAACATTCTAACCTTGAATTTTGAATGTAATTAATCTACCATGCAAATCTGTATTGGTATGGCATGGATAATATATAAGGAGTATTTATTTTCTGTAACGAACGTAACATTAGTTCCCTATAAGTTTTAATTTTCTTGGGTTTATAACTTACACTTATAACAATACCTTAGATTTTATGTCATGAGTATGTTCAATTTGTTCGCTTGTGCGTTCTCATTTCTCAAGACATTGTTCTTTCTAATAAAACGTACATAATTGATTACTCTATCCACCTAAAACTTTAGCGGTTGAATTTATAATCTAATTAGATTTTGAAGTTATTTTCAATTCAATATAAATAAAAAAAATTATACATTTTTAAACTAGATCAAAAGTTTTTCAAAGAAAATGGTGACACACACATTATTAATAGGTTTGGTATAACATTTGATACAATTTTAATTTTCACATTTTTTAAGATTACTGGAGTTTGATTTTAAAAAATCAAACGGAACAAATGCAATAGTATACGTATGAAGTACATGATCATATGCATAAGAAACTAAAACATGGCAAAAAAAAGGAAAAATTGATATAAATACTCCTAGAAATTCGAAATTTTACAATAATGCTCCCAAATTTAATAAAAGACTCTGGTACTCCCAATTAAACTATAAGTTTACATTACTACTCTCATTATGCCCAATCAGTTTTTCTTACACTTACATGTAACTAATTATGTTTAGTTGACATCGTAGTTGTTTTTTTTTTTGTTTTAATAAGAGGAAAAAATTATATAAATACTCCCTGAAATTCAAAATTTTACAATAAAACTCTCAAAACCAAATAAAGACTCCTGTATTCTAAAAAATATCTTCCTTTTACGTGTTACGATGTTTTATAAAAGTGGTGTGAAATCAAAATATAAAATTATATATCTAAAAACTACATCATGAGATTTATAAAACTAGTAATGATATAATTATATTATCTTATCAAGTACCCAAGTATATAATTAAAATAGGTAAGCAAAGTAAATGAAATTTGATCTTGTTAATACTCTTAACAGTGAATGGGAAGATAACTTTTGGACGGACGAGGTATTTTGTATTAAAAAATAAAAAAAAATACGATGCCAATTAAGCTCAATTAATTAATCTGTAATATTACTAAAAAAATTATTTTTACATATATTACTATATTAGTTTTTTAAAGGGAATATTTTTTTAGAGTCACACCACTTTTATGAAACATCGTAACACACTAACACGTAAAAGGAAGATATTTTTTAGAGTACTGGAGTCTTTATTTGGTTTTGAGAGTTTTATTGTAAAATTTTGAATTTCATGGAGTATTTATATAATTGTTTCCTCTTAATAAAACAAAAAAACAACTAAGATGTCAACTAAGCATAATTACTTACATGTAAGCGTAAGAAAAGCTGATTAGTCATAATGGGAGTAGTAATGTAAACCTTTATAGTTTAATTGGGAGCACTAAAGTCTTTTATTAAATTTCGAAATATTATTGTAAAATTTAGAATTTTTGGGAGTATTTATATCAATTTTTCCAAAAAAGAAAACAACTAATGCATGGCTAAATGGGTAATTTAATGTGGTTAAGGACAATGTGACGTCGAAACTGTGATTATTGTTAAGGACAATGTGACGTCGAAAACTGTGATTATTATTAAGGCACATCACAGATGGCCGCTTAATGTTACCACAGTAAGCTCCAACACTCTATATGTACAATTTTTTGGTAATATGTAAAACGGGAAAAAATTTATTTGTGCATTTATGATTTCTTTCTTTGAGATGAGAAGTGCAATCATTATTATCATTTTTTGGATTTTTCATATATAATTATTTTATACGTAGTGTAATATTTTAAAATTTAAATTGGTTTGTATTTGAAAAAAAAAACTGAAATAAAAAAAGGAGAAAGACCAAAGTAGGACCAAAACATTGAAAATATACCAAAATAGGACTTTCATGTTTTTATTCCCGAAATAGGACTACATTATCAAACATGGTCATATACATTACCAAAAAAGTATAGTAATTTGTACATGTACACTGCCACATTACCACAATGCAATGTCACATTACCATAGTGCAAAGTCCTATTCCGAGGAAAAAAACATGAAATTCTATTTTGGTACTTTTCTCTATGTTTTAGTCCTATTTAGGATGATTTCTAAATAAAAAAAATACTCCATCCGTTTCACAAAACACTTCCGTTTTAATTTTTTGCGCTGCCCATAAAGTTCTTCTATTCCACCTAAAATGTTTAAAATACCCCTAAAATAACTTCTACTCGCAATAAATTACATAGTGCAAATTTCACTTGAAAAAAATGAAAGAAACTGGAAGGAATAGGAAGAATTCAAAAAAAAAAACTAAAAAAGTCGTTATAAGGATTTTATTTAAATTAATAATAAAATTTATGGATTGCTAATCAAATACTCCCTCCGTCCGGAAATATTCTTCTCATTTTCTTTTTTGGTCCGTCCGAAAATAATCTTCCCATTTCCTTTTATAGTATGCTTTTTAAGGCTAAATATCAATAATACTCTTCTATTTTATCACAAATTTACTTTTTTAATACTTTTTTAATAATTTGAAGGGCCATTATACTCTATCATGATTCATGAATTTGCACCCCCCCTCCAAATGTATTCCGTATTATGAATGATGGAAAATGTAAGGGGTACACCAAAAGTATACCCTAAATATCCACCACCCCTTCCATCATCACAAAGAAAAGCAAGAAAAATTCAAAAAAAATAAAATATAAAAGTAAAATAAAATGAATGGATATGAGAGGAGTGGGGTACATTTGGGGTACACTTTTGGTGTACCCCTAACATATCTCATGAATGATCGATGCACCAAAATAAAAAAGGGCCCATACATCATAAATATAATGAAGACTACGCACGATGGTAGTAGTTGTGCATTTATAATGTTACACAAATATTCTCCAACACCAAATACGTACAACACATTTGTAAGGACATGTCTAAAGGGGAAACTATTACAGTAATTTAAAATAAGCATTAATAACAGGCATTTCGTGCAAATTTTAAAATAAAATAAATTTAAAAACACTAGCATTGTGTCTCATTTTAGTTTTTATGTACTCCCTCCATTCCACAAAATTCATCATCTTTCGTTTTTTTGCTTTCCACAAAATACTTCCGTTTTCTATTAAAAAACTATTTTTACCCCTACTTTTTTATACCCTACCTATCACATCATATTTTTTCAGTAATAACCAAACTATCACATCTTACTTTTTCCCATCACATCCAGGGTAAAATTGGAAAATCAACCAAAATTAAACTTTCTTTATTTTTTTCCAAAGTCAAAACCGGAAAATGGTCCTTTGTTAACATTTTTGTTAAAAACATGGATAAAATTGTATATTCATATATACTTTTTTTTCCACCTCAATTTCATCTATCTTCTCGTACTTTTTCTCAAACACGTCGATAAGTTTGAAGCTCTAAACCTTAAACTGAAATGATCACTTATCTCTTAATTATTAGTCTTCTTAGTAGAACCTAAAATCAAAACCAATACACTTTATGAATGAGCTTTATCGGTCAGTCTTAAGAAATTTATAAGAAAATAAACATTAAAACTCATCAATGAAAGTTACTGATTTCGAATTTAGGTTCTATCAGTTAGACAAACAATTGAGAGAAGAGTGATGATTTTGGTTTTGGGTTCAATGCTTCAAACTCAGCGACAAATTTTGAAAAGGAGTGCGAGGAGATGGAGCAAGCTTAATTGAGGAGAGAAAGAAGTGTGAAGTTACAATTCTATCCACGTTTTTAACAGAAATGTTAATAAAGGACCATTTGTGAAAATGAATTTAATAATTGGGGACTAAATTAGTAATATTTGATATGTAGGGACTAAATATGTAAAAAGATCTATAACTGGGAACCTTTTATAAAATTTATTTTTTTTGAAAATATAACTATTGAAAATCATAATTTTTAAATATGTAAATTTCATTCTTATTTCTATACCAATATTTAAATTAAATAAATTAAAAAATTGATGTTTTGCCTCGGTTTTACAAATGTGGCAAACAAATGAGGAAGTATATTTTTCCATTGATTTGTCCAAATTGTCTTTTAATGTGATAACAAATAAATTATTTGTGAATAAATATGATATAAATCAAGCTAGGATAAGAATTACGCAAAAATAGTTTTTAAAAAACTTTTTAATGAAAAGTGGATAAGAAATTTATGGTGACCGGTGAGATGAAGGATGCTGTGTTATCACATCATACTTTTTTTCTAATAATATATATTTGTCACACTTTGTTTTTACATATCATCATATTAGAACAGAGGAGTAAAACTTAACACTTTCTTATTTTTGCATTTGATCAAAATTAGGACTCTTTTTTTTGTTTAACGGGGTAATTAACTTTTGCTTCCCAACGCAACATAGAGAGTGGGCGTGTCCATGGGTACGTACCAGCATAGGGATGGGCCATGCATTAAACCATGCACGTGACTATACCCATGCTCACGTAATACGGACATGATGGAGTACGTAATATTCATTGCTAAGCTGATTATATATAGCACCTTTCTGGCCAGCCATAGCCCTGCATCTCTCCAGCATTATCTCACTGGCTATCAATTCAAAGAACTAAGAATTGATCGAGAAGAAAGCACAGAACTTAATTTGCTTATTCTCACTCACCTACTTCCCCAAATCCCATCCATACCTATCCAACGCCATACCATATATATAGCTTCTTCTTCTTCTTCTTCTTCCCAGCAGCAGCAGAGCATGATGATGATGATGATCAGTTGTTTCTTGTGTCTGCCGCTGGTGCTCTTCACCCTGCTGCAACTACCCACCACTGTCTCCTCCAAGCTCCACATTCTGGAGAGCGCCAAGGCCGAAGGGGCAGTCTGCCTTGATGGCTCCGCCCCCGCCTACGACTGGGAGGTAGCCAAAGACGACGCCAACAGGAGGAACTGGGTCGTCTACCTCCAAGGTTCCGGATGGTGCTTGAACTCCACCATCTATCAAACCCCAGACAACACTATTGAGAGCTGTCGTAGACGGGCTACCACTTACCTTGGCTCTTCCCGCTACATGAATGCCTCTGTTTTCCAGCATTTCTTAAGCCCTCGCTCCAACGACACTTATTTCTCCAATTGGAATCAAGTGATCGTTAGGTACTGCGACGGGGCCTCCTTCTCCGGCGACGCCGACAAACCCGACCCCGTCACGAAGCTCTACTACAGAGGGGCTAGGATCTTCCGCGCCGTCGTCAGGGACCTGATGGCGAGAGGAATGGAGGATTCTAGCAACGTTCTTCTGGCCGGGGGGTCGTCCGGCGGGTTGGGCGTGATGATTCACTGTGACGGCTTCTGGCGCATGTTCTCTGCCGGCGTTCGAGTGAAGTGTCTCGCCGACTCTTCCTTCTTCCTTCACGTGAAGGACCCCGTCCGTGCAGAGTTCTTCGACACCGTTTTCGGCACCATGGTGGGGATGAAACACCCCGGCAGCGCGTTACCCACCAGGTGCACTTCGAAAAACAGTGTGAAAACTTGTTTCTTCCCCCAGAACATGCTGCGCTACATCGAGTCGCCGCTGTTCATTGTGAACCCGGCGTTCGATTCCTTTCAGGTGAGACACACGTTTTCGGAGGATTTGCACGACCGGATCAAGTACCGTGAGGTCGTGACTCCAAGAGAAATGGCGCTGCTCCGTGATTTCAGGCGGCAAACGATTGCGGCATTGCCCCCGGAGAGTGCGAGGAATGGATACATACTCACATCCATATTCCAGCACAGCTTGGCTTCGGGCATCGGGTATAAGGGACCCATGTTTGCCGACCCGAAATCCAAGTCTTTCGAGAGCGCCTTTCTGGACTGGTACTTCGACCGGGCGCGGGTGCATTTGGTCGACCCTGCGGACAAACCATTTGTTCCTTAATAAAGCCGGCGGCCAATTAATTAGTATGCACTTCATTGTTGTTATTATTATTAGTGAAATTTGCACTAAATAGAACTAAAACATAATGACTTTCCTAATGTAATATATGGGGCATGGTAGGCGTACTATATAATTAAGTTTATGTCCATATAATTTTAATGTTCTCTTTTCTAAAAATAAATAAATAAATAAAATTAATGTTCTATGCATATAAAAAAGAAGAAATAATTTTTAAAAGAAATAATAGAGATTAACTGTTTTGTGAATAATGAGTACCCCTCCTTACAATTTGAAGATTTGTTAATTACGTATGAATTATGAATGCACGAATAAGTATTTTCCCCTTTTAGACATCTGTATAAAATGTTGTACAAAGCTAGTGATGGACCTTATTTGAATAACATTATAAATGCTTACCTACCTCTCACATCTAATGTGTCTTCCGGCCAGCTCCCATCTTTTGCACGCTTTTTTTTTCAAAGTAATACGGACTAATAACAACAACAACAACAACAATATAAATCATAATAATAATTATAATTATAATAATTATAATAATAACCCCAACTTCCCAGGCTTTATAGTATTGGACATTTGGACCGCACGTATTTATTTCCAACATACATGAAGGGAAAAATGGATTTTGAACTCAAACATTTTACTAAAACCAGTATTTTAACATGTGTCATGCACGGAGTGATACGAAATTGTAATAATAACAATAATAATGACAATTATAATAATAAATAATAATAACAATAATACAATATATATTTAATTAAAGTGCAAGTGTTGAGCATATATAGCTCTATTTTTTTGGGCACATAGCATTGTCAGAGGAACATGGGCAATCAAGAGAAGTATCAGTACAATTACTTTTCAATATCTGATCACAAAGAGTGTAACAAGTCCCTATTAGAATAATCGGATCATCCGTGCCACCAAATCTTCCAGCATTAACTTCATAGCAGACATTGTAACACTTACAAAAGGGCTTTGGATTGCATTCACTCGTTACTCCACCAAATAACATTAATGTGAAAACAAACACTTTCATCCACCCAATCGTCATGATCTTGCCACAAATATCACTTTTTCTGTTCCGAAAGAGTTAAAACATTAGGGATTATGACGATAAGAAATCATAAAGGTGGATTTCTTTAAATAATCTTTAATTAATGTTCCGTTCGTAAAATTAATTATTCTTGCTTCCTTAAATTCTCAATTCCAGATCTGCCCACACTCCAAATTGTCAATCCGGGTGAGGGGCGATGAGAATGGGTGAAGGAAGGTAAAAAGGAATAAATGTGACAGAAATATTCAAAATCTAGAAAGATAGTCACGACAGGTAGGAACCATGATTTATATTCTCATTAGAATTTGTAAATTTTGAAACTATAGGGATTATGACGATAAGAAATCATAAATGTGGATTTTTTAAATCATCTTTAATGTTCCGTTCGTAAAATTAATGATTCTTGCTTCCTTAAATTGTCAATCCCAGATCTGCCCACACTCCAAATTGTCAATCCGGGTGAGGGGCGATGAGAATGGGTGAAGGAAGGTAAAAAGGAATAAATATGAAAGAAATATTCAGAATCTAGAAAGATAGTCACGATGGGTAGGAACAATATAATGAATTATATTCTCATTAGAATTTGTAAATTTTAAATTTTAAAACTATAAGATGTACAAGATACCATAGTGATCCATCATCTAACTAGATAGGAAAATGTTTGGTTCACAAACAAAATTGTCACAAACTTCACAAACTTACTATTTGTAAACTTCAATAAATAAAATTAAATAATCTAAACTAATTTTAAAATGAAAATTTAAACCATAAATAGTAAGTTTGTGAAGTTTGTGAGTATCCTGTTTGTGAACGTAGCATTGCTCAGCTAGATAAGGAGTAGAAACATTTTATTTCTAAATTTGATGTTACGATGAAAAATCTCTCATCTTTTGAAATTTTATTATTTTCAAATTGGTATGTATATCATTAAAATAAAAAATTACATATTAAAAACTTATTTCGAAATTTCTACATAATGAGCTGAGAGATGACAAGAATACTTTATTTTATCAAATACGTACTCAATGAAAGCATACGAATAAAGAAAAAATATCGAGGAGCGAGAAAAATTATAATTTATTTTAAGACGAAGAAAGTATAATAAGTGCACAATTCTTTTGACATTGATCATTGATATTGATGTAGTTGAATGGGATGTCAAAAAGATATAAAGAGATAGAGACTATGGCCGTGTTTGGAAAACAACATTTCGGATATTTTTTGGCATCTTTGACTGACTTTGGCTTTTTTGACCAAGCGAATCGCCAAAACCATTGTTTGGCTAATGGCTTTTTCACTTGGCATTTTGATCCGAAAAGCCAAAATCTGAAATGCCAAGGGGAGTAGCATTTGGACTTGGCAGTTAGGAAAAATAATTTTTTTAAAATCATTTTTGTGAAAGATATTTTATAATATATATAAAAAATAAAAATAAAAATAAAAGTTAAAAAAATTAAATACTAAAAAATATAAAATTTAAATTAAAATACACACACACACACACAGGAAAAACTATTTTCAAACAGCTAATTTTACCAAACATTTTTAACGATCAGCCAATTCATTCTGTCAGTCAAACCAGCTAAACTAAACAGCCATTCACAACAGCTGGCACGAACTGCCGACTGCCAACAGCTGACAGCCAACATCCAAACAAGGCCTATAATAAAGAGAATAACTAAAAGTAACCTTAGTTTGTAATTGTCTATTGTTGAAAAAAGAATTTCTTTTACTGAATAGTTTAACTAAAAGAGAATAACTAAAAGTAACCTTAGTAGTATAACCTTGAATAGTTGAATGTAATTAATCTACCGTGCAAATCTCTATTGGTACGACATGGATAATATAGGTTTATTTTGTGTAACGTACTGCTAGTTCCCTATAAGTTTTAATTTTCTTGGTTTTATAACTTACACTTACAATAACGCATTAATAAAACGTACTTAATTTGATTACTCCCTATACCTAAAACTTTAGCTATTGAATTTATAATATTAGATTTTGAAGTTATTTCTATTCAAAGAAAATGGTGACACACACATTAATAGGTTTGGTATAACATTTGATGCAATTTTTCACATTTTTTAAGATTATTTGAGTTTGATTTGAAAAAATTAACCGAGCAAATGCAGTACAATACGTAGACCTCGCAAAACTGATCCGAACTCGATAACCCGAACCGAATAACTCGGAACCGAATCCGATTTGACCCGAAAACTGAAGAACCAAAATAGAACTGAACATTCGAAATGATCTGAACCGAACCGAATCCAAACCGAATGAATTCAGACCCGATTCAGATCCGAATCCGATTTAACCCGAATCAATAAAACCCGAACCCGGTTAAACCCAGAACCGATTATACCCGAAATTGATTGAATTTTATGTACGTCCATGTTAAATAATAAAATAACTACGGAGTATATCATAAATTGATTAAATTTATTAGTAAATATTTAAAATATATTTGAACTGATATAAACCTAAATCGATACAAACCCCAATCAATATAAACTCGAATCGATACAAATCCGAACCGGTACAAACTCGAACCAATACCTGATCCGGTACAAATCCGAAATGATACAAACCCGAACCGAAACCGAACTGAAACCAAGAACCAGTCAAACCGAAATAAACCTGGAATCGAACTAACCCAACCCAAACTGATCCAAACCGGTTATAACATATATCCGAAAGAGACCCGAACTGAAAAGATCCGAACCAAAACCGAACTTGACCCGATTGCCAGGTCTAACAATACGTGTGAAGTACATGATCATATGCGTAGGAAACTAAAAAATGGCAAAAAACAACTAATGGCTAAATGGGTAATTTAATGTGGTTAAAGATAATGTGACGTCAAGACTGTGAAAAAATTGTTTTTAAAATTTGATTTTGTAGCTGGAAGAGTTAATAAGGCACATCTAGGGATGTAAACAAATCAAATATTTTAAATTCGATTCGTAATTTGTATTCGAATATTATGATTCGAATTCGCATTATTCAAATACAAATACAAATTCAAATATTATTTTTGATTTGAATATTAAACAAATACAAATTAAATACAAATAGAGATATATTTGATTCGAATGATATTCGAATATTCGAATAAATGTATATACACACAAACCATGTTTTCAACATCAATAGTCAAGCAAACTAATATAGTATGAAGTGCATTTAAATTACTAAGAATTCGACATATTAATGTAACACAAAAATCTAAAGCATATGATTTTTCATAGTTATATTTTATAAAATATAATTTCTTTAAGATGCAAATGTATTAATGTTTTTTGATACAGAGTATAGTATAGTATAAGAAGTATTGTAAGTTAAATTACAAATCAATGTTGAATTGGTTCATCATATAAATTACAGAGTATGATTATTCAAATATTATTTGTGTAGGATTCGTAAACTAGCTATTCGAATATTAATCAAATACATATTCAAATTTTATTTTTAATTCGTCTCATATTCGGATTCGTATTTGTATTCGAAAAAATTAAACAAATATAAATTCAAATATCTTATTATTCGCTTCGATTCGGTTCGTTTACACAATTACACCCCTCGCACATCACAGATTGATAAGGATAATGTGACGTCAAAACTGTGAAAAAATTGTTTTCAAAATTTGATTTAGTAGCTAGAAGAGTTAAGGCACATCTAGGGATGTAAACATATCAAATATTTTAAATCCGATTCGTGATTTGTATTCGAATATGAGGATTCGAATCTGCATTATTCAAATACAAATACAAATTCAAATATTATTTTTGATTCGAATATTAAACAAATACAAATACAAATAGAGATATATTCGATTCGAATGATATTCGAATATTCGAATAAATGTATATACACACAAACCATGTTTTCAACATCAATAGTCGATCAAGCAAACTAATATAGTATGGAGTGCATTTAAATTACTAAGAATTCGACATATTAATGTAACACAAAAATCTAAAGCATATGATTTTTCATAGTTATATTTTATAAAATATAATTTCTTTAAGATGCAAATGTATTAATGTTTTTTGATACAGAGTATAGTATAGTATAAGAAGTATCGTAAGTTAAATTACAAATCAATGTTGGTCCATCATATAAATTACAGAGTATGATTATTCAAATATTTGTGTAGGATTCGTAAACTAGTTATTCGAATATTA